GCATTATTTGAGTGGGATGACGAGGGACTCATTGCCTGTCGGGAGTGAGAATGGGTATTTATTCCTTTTTCTTTTTTTTTTTTAAAAAAAAAAAGATATATATATATATATATATTTCAAAAATGTAACAAAAAAAATTGATATTCATTTTTGGTCTTTTATCAAGTCCACAAGGCAACCTCCAAGATTCAATTTCATTCATTCTTACTAATTTTGTTGAAATGAATAAATTATGGGTTCGCCTTCAACATCAAGGTCATTCGCGTGATCGTGAAAAAAGAGAGATGGAGCGTAAAGAATTGAGAATTTTAGTCGGAACAAATTTAGTTCGTCTGAGTCAATTGGATGGTGTTGATTTAGAATTATATCAAAAAGTACTACTTTTCACAATTTTATTTTATTATTTAATAATATATTATATGTATTATTCATTTCTGTCGAACGTAATCTCAACAGACAATATTACCTTCTATATTGGAACAAGTAATCAATTGTAAAGATGTTATTGCTCAAGAATATCTAATGGAAGTCATAATCCAAGTAAGTTATTTTTAAAATGGTTATAGTGAAGCTTACAAATAATATTTAATTTAATTTAATCTTTTCTCTAAGGTATTCCATGATGACTTTCATTTAAGAACACTTGGTCTATACTTGTCAGCAACTGCACAATTACATCAAAAAGTTAATGTAAAACAAATTGTGATCGCACTTATTGATCGGCTTGCTGCCTATGCTGCCCGTGAAGCAGATTCTGAACCACCAGAAGTGGTTAAACGTCAAGAGGAAGAAGCAGCTCGTAGACTAGCTGAAAAATTGAGAAGGCAAAAAATTAGTGGATACAGTGATGAAAAGGATTATGAAAACGATGATTTACTAGAAGATGAATCCCAGAGGGAAGTGGACGATGATAATTTTTCTTCAAACAAAATAAAATCTGATGAAGAGCCTACTGTAAAGAAATTCCGTGGCATTCCAGAAGATGTAAAACTCTTTGAAGTTTTTTGGGGACAAATTGTCAATCTGGTCAAGGTATTTAAATTTATTTTGATACCTGCAATTCTTTTTCTTTGAAAATCCTCGCAGTCATAGACATCTTGGCTTTTTATAGGCACGTCACGATTTATCTATTCAAGATATTACCGCTTTGTTAGTATCATTGGTTAATTTGTCATTAAGTTGCTACCCTGATAAGATCGAATATGTCGATCAAGTTATAGAGTTTGCAAAACAAAAAGTCCTGGATTTCCACGACAGGTAAATCATATAATTAACTTATTTTGATTTAAACTTATTATTTATATTATTTATATTCTGAGAGTATACCTTTTCTTTTTTTTTTATGTAAATTAGTCCCGATTTACACAGTCCAGCAGCTACCTCCAATTTACTTAATCTACTTTTGGCTCCAATCAACAATTATTCTACTGTTCTCACCCTTCTCGCTATACCCAATTATTCTGCACTTCTTTCTGTTCAACCATTTCAGACGCGCCGTTCTGTTGCACATGCCATTGTTTCCTCTATA